GGTGGCACATATCTGTAATCCCAGCACTCAGGATGCTGAGGCAGGAGGATCACTGTGAGTTCAACACCAGCCTGGGCTACATAGTGAGTTCCAGGTCAGTCTTAACTACACAATGAGACCCTGTCTCAAAAGCCAAACAAAACCCCACCTTAGTTTAGAAATAAAAGTTTTGAATTGTGATGGTTAATCTTGAACGTTAGTTTTTTTTTTCCAGCATAGGGATCGAACTTGGGACCCTGAGCTTGCAAGGCAGGTGGCAGCACCACTGAGCTAAATCCTGGGCTTGAATGTCAACTTAATTGGACAGAGAAACAGGAAATTAGAAAGCCCACTTTTGGTTATGTCTGAGTATGTTTTCAAGGATTGGCATGAGGGAGGAGCCCACCCTGCACGTGGGCCTGGGGACCCCGAGTGTCAAAAGTGGACAGAAGACGCCCTCTCACACAGGTCCTCACTCTTTTTCTGACTACCTTGAAGTGAGCAGCTTTCTTCCCCACGCCCTTCCACCATGAAGTCTCTGTTTTAGACACAAAGAACCCTGAAGCTATGAGCTATAATAAACCTTTTGTTCTCTAGTTGTTATTCTCAGGTATTTTGTCATAGAGACAAAAAAGCTGATTAACATACCAATCTAACTACACATAAAAACAACACAAAAAATTAACACACCTCAGTAACAACCTTTTTTTTTTTTTTTGAGACAGGGTCTCACTATGTAGTTGAAACTGACCTGGAACTCACTATGTAGCCCAGGCTGGTCTCGAACTCACAGCGATCCTCCTGCCTCAGCCTCCCGAGTGCTGGGATTACAGGCATGCGCCACCACGCCCAGCTTCAGGAACAACTTTTGTTGTCCAGTATCTGGTGACAGTTTGTGCTCCTAGAATGATCAAAGATGGGGGTCAAATACATTGACCCTTCTGCTGTCACCCTGGGATCTGGACTCTGCAGAAGAAAATGGTGGGCAAAAGCACATACCAACCCCAGGAAATGGTAACCAGTACCCACAGGTAGAGAACAGTGACGTGGGAGAAAACAGGATGGGTGGAGAGAAGAACTGGTCAAGAATGGGGGCTGTTCTGGAGGGTTTGATCTTATTCTAGAAACTGCAGAGCAAGGCTCTGGGTTGACATAAGCAGGAGGGATGCTCTGATTCCCTCCGATTCCAGGAGGCAGCAGGAGTGACCAAGATCTCAATGTGCGCATGTGTAAAGTATATCAGATGTAGAAGCTGCTAGGCTGCAGAGATGAAGGAAAAACAGAAACAAACTGGTCCTGGCTTGTGCTGGTATGACTGGGCCTCAAACACCAACTGACAAATGCAACCTGAAGGGGAATTCCCAACCAAAGGAGAGGGCAGTCGGCTTAGAAACACTAGCAAAATGATCTGGGCTGGAGAGGTCAAGGTTTAGATGTGGTCTGGACCTGGAAGTGGTTAAATCTCCTTGGAGGAGAAACTGGGAACAACAGAAAGCCAGAACGACTTGGACTCTCAGGATGGGGGCAGGGGACGAGAGAACCAGACTGAGGTGTCCTGGAGGAGGAAGCTGCAGGACTTGGAGGGAGGAGGGCACAGGGAGTGAGGGGAGCTGAGAATTGGGAGAAGCGAGTTGTGAGCAAAGTTCTGCAGGAATTGAGGAGGCAATGACAGCCAGACGCAGACTCAGCCCCAGTGTTCCAAGACTCACATAGCCTGCAGTCCTGCTGATCTGTACGAGGAGAGATCTGCACTGACCAAGAGCCGTTAATGAAGACACAAAGGGCTGGATGGAATTTGAGCCTTTACCTGGCAGATCATGGCCAGACGACGGGTTTCCTTATGGACTTACCACTGTCTTTGGGTGGTTTTGGGGACTGAACCCAGTGCCTTTGCACTGAGTTACATCCCCAGCCCTTTTATTTATTTGTGGGGGATTAAAGGCATGCATCATCGTAGCTCAGACTCACCATTTTTTATGTAGGTTCAAGACACAGGGCATGAGGTCTTCACAGGAGAACCCAGTGAGGTCCCACAGTTGAGTGGTCCAGGGCTGTGCTGGGGAGCAAAGCAGGCCAGGAATGCAATGGTTGTCTGACAACTCCCTGCAGGTTGTGTTCCTGGAGCTCAAGGTTGCAGCCCATTAAAATGGCTTTGACAAGCTCCCATGTAGAATGTGCATATTGTCAAGAATTTGAGAAACACTTCAACTAGAACCATCTCACCTCCCAACCCTATGCTACCTTTGGTCCATTCTGAAGGGATGGGCACTTAAAAAAAAAAACCAAAACAAAACATGTAACACTGGGGCTTGAACCCCTGGCCTTCATACTAAGCTATATATCCTTAGTCCTTTAAAAACTTTTTTATTTTCAGACATGGTCTTACTAAATCACTGAGTTGCTCAGGCTGGGCTCAAACTTATGATTCTCCTGCCTCAGCCTCCTAGATGTGCTGAGATTATAGGCATAGGCCACTATGTGCAGAGCACGTATTTCTTGTCATCCCGCCACCCTTCTCCTTTTTTAAGGACTTCCCCTGCCACCAGCAATCCCGTAGAGGGGCCACTCCTTACTCTGCCCATGCATCACTCTGGCCAGAAGCAGGGCTGCAGAGGCCAAGTGGGCTGGGGCATAGGCAGACAGGCTGGTGTGCAGCAGGGAGAGCTCGCAGAGGAAGCTGCACAGGTGCTGAGTTCTGGGTGCCACGGAGACCAGCGTCAGCAGGACCTCTTTGTAATCAACCACGGTAGGGACCTAGACAAAAGGCGAAGGTGGATGTGGGCTTTTTTCTTTTTTTTTTTCCCATCAAGAGCACACCAAGTGACAGCCCAGCAGGGACTTGGCCCTCACTCAGGGCATCGAGGCATGGCACAGACAGCTGACCCCTGGGGGTCCATAAGGATCTTCCAGGGGAGGAAAGCTGGATGTCTTCAGCTCGTCCTACTCCTCCTGTGACCCAAGCAGGGAGACAAAAGAAAGCCCTGCTTACTCGAATCTTCCCGTCCAGGGCGGAGACGATCTCTCCCATCATCCTCACCAGGTCCTCGTACTTGTATGTGTTGTCTGTGAGCCACACGGCCTCTCGAATCGTCAGGATCTCTTTACTGATGAACCTGCAACGTGGAGAGGGGGGCTCAGCCCTGAGTCCATCTCCTAAAGCAGGGAGAGGAACTGGGAGGCCTCAAGGTGAGGAGACCATGATGACGCTGAGCTTCACTGCCAAAGGAAGGCTATACAAGGGATCCAGCTGCCTCTGGACAATAAGAGACATTAAGGGGAGTGATGGTCAGAAGGTACTGGAAAGAAGAAAAATGTGAGCCTGCAGGTAGAAGCAGAGTAGGAGACGAAGAGCTACTGATCAGATACAACTGTCTCTGCAAAAGGGTCTATCATTCAGTTTTCCTAATGGCCTCAGAGACAAAGATTTGCCTTTTTTCTTTTATTCTTTTGATGCTACTGGGGATCAAACCCAGGACTTGGCATATGGCTAGGCAAATGCTGTACTCAGCAGCACTCCTAGACTGTGTCTTGATTTTTCTTGTTTTGTTTTTTGAGACAGGGTCTCACTATGTAGTTGAGGCTGACCTGGAACTCACTGTGTAGCCCAGGCTGGTCTCGAACTCACAGAGATCCTCCTGCCTCAGCCTCCCGAGTGCTGGGATTACAGGTGTGGGCCACCATGCCCGGCGTCAGGAATTTTGATTGTCCAAAAGATAGCGGACACCCAGTTCTCTATTGTCTGCCAGTGTCAACCATCAGGGAACATCCTACTCCAGAGGCCCTGAAGATAATCTCCTAAATGAGAATGGACCAGGACCCAGTTTGTTCTCTGCAGTTTACATATTTGTCATTGGCTTGACAGGACAGAAGGGACAGGAGTTACACCTCCCGACATAAAGGCCACATATGCCCAAAAGAGGGGATATTATGGGCTTCTGAGAGCAGAACTGGCACATCTTTAAAGCCATTTCCAGAGGTTATAATCTATTGTCCGTGGCCCAGTAATTTGTTCTGAGACTGCAACAATGTAACTGTGCTGTTAGATAAAGGAAGGCAGCAACCCCTTGTTCATCAGCATCTCTGGTCAGACTACCTGGGAGGCGGGCCGGGGATTTAGCTCAGTGGTTCCGCTGCCTGCCTTGCAAGTGCAAGGACTCCAGTTTGATCCCCGGTACCAAAAAAAAAGAAAAAAAGAAAAGAATACCTGGGATGGTGCCAGAAGAGCTGGCACAAAGAGCGCTCTGGACTGGGTGTGGCAGGGTCTGCTCACTGATCCTGAATTCCTCACTTCTTTTTTTTTTTGGTACCGGGGATCGAACTCAGGACCTTGCACTTGTGAGGCAGGCGGCGGCACCACTGAGCTAAATCCCCCAGCCCCTCCTCACTGCTCTGTAGGGTACTGTGACCCCGCTTTGAGCGGGCACATAGCCGTCCAAGGGGGCTACAGTTTCTGTCATGGCCTGACATGGTGACATGAGTACACTGCGTGACAAGGGGGACGCTGGAAGCTATGGTGACAAGGGCAGCCACTGGTGGACGGCAGACAGCGAGATGGGAGCCAGGGTCCCTTCATGACCTCTTGAAATAAAAAATGACCCCAGTGACATTGGCAAGACAGAAATAGATACCTGCAGTTCTCATCATGGCCGAGAGCAGCCAAACCCATTCTTACTCTCTAGGCCTCGCACACAAGGACAGTGGGTCTGGAACGTATCTCCTAGTGGAAGTAGTAGCTCAAGCTAGGAATGTTTGGTTTAGGAAAACAAGAAAACTCAACCTCAAGAGACATGGTTCTCTCTGTGAACTCTGAGGACCACAGAGGAAGAAGGCAGCCAACTGTGACCCTCTTTAAGGACAACACCCTCAGGAGCCAAGGGAGGTGTGGTCTAGTCTGTGCCTGTTTGAATTCATACTCTGGGTTCTGAGACCATGTGCCAAGATGAGGTGCTGCACAATGGCCATGCCAAGGGTCAGTTCTGCCATCCCCACCTGTGAGGCAGGTAAGACCCTTAAGACTTATCGCTCTTACGAACTAGCCACTAGCGTAGGAAGGACAAGTGACCTCCAAGAAGAGCCAGCACTTTCAAACACCAGCCCTACTGGCTGGATCAACGGGCTTCTCACCGGGTGCAGATGACCATGCAGGCAATACCCAGCAGCTGGAGCTTGTAACGGGGCACCACCCTCCTCCTCAGGTACCGGTCTACACACTCCACTGTCAGGTGAAGGCACAGGCTTGTGAAGTCCTTCATGGTGGCAACTTCTACCAGCCAGTCAATCAGAATGTACCTGTGGAAAGAGTGCCGCCTAGGTCATTTATAAAATGTATAGTGTGTTCTGCAATAAACCAAAGAGCCCAAAATCCCACCAGAACAAGCACCGAGTCCCTGCACTGGAGTTCTGCTGGTCCAACTCAGCAACCTGACTGATGCCTGAGGGCTGACCGTCCCTCTCCACCAGAAGGCTACACCCCAGGGATCAGGGTCACAAACTAAGAGAATGCTGCAAGGATACCCAAATATGGTTAACATCTTTCTGAACAAGGGACGGTTGTCTTAAAGCAGGGAGAACTGAGCCAACAGAAAACAGGAGAAGAATGGTGACAATGCAGGCTCTGCTGGAGACAGGAAGGGAAGGTTCCAGGGGCAGCCCGGACAGAAGCACATTCAGAAGTGGTGGGATAGAGGGGGACAGCAGAGGTGATGGAAGGGTGGTTGGGAGGGTGGGATCAGACAAGCCTCTATTTACTTCCAAAAGGAAGCACCTACAAGTGTTGGGTGTGTAAAGCTTAAACCCACCAGGACTCAACAGACTAGGGAGCTTAATAATCTGACTTCTAAAACAGACCACTTTAAAATGGTTAACTTTATGCTTAAAGCCCACACAGACATAAATGAATAATAATTATTTTGTAGTACTGGGGATTAAACTTAGGGCCTTTGCACTGAGCTATATCCCTAGCCCATTTTTAATTTCTTAATTTTGAGACAGGGTCTCATTGAGTTACTTAATTCCCAAGACTGGGCTCTAACTTGTGATCTTCCTGACTCAGTACTGCTGAGATTATAGGTTTGTGTCACCACGCCTGAATAAGAATTATTGGGAAAAACACATGACAAACAATAAAACAAAAATGAACAAACTGCAGACTAAGGGAACTAGAAGGTATTAACTCCTTCTAAATGAAGAGGTGAGAAACATGGAGGCCAGGTAGGGGATGCCAGTTCCATGCCCGGGATGCAAAGGCACTCCAGTTGTTGAGCTTTACCACAGGAGCAGAGGGGTGCGAGTGTACGTGTATGTCAGAGAGCAGGCCTCTTCAGGGAAGGGACAGTCATTGGGGGGCGGATAGTGCGGATCGAACTCAGGACCTTGTGTTTGTGAGGCAAGCGGCAGAACCACTGAGATAAATCCCCAGTCCCAGACATTTCTTAAAAAATAAATATTGATTAGCCAGGCATGGTGGTGCACACCTGTAATCCCAGCACTCGGGAGACTAAGGCAGGAGGATCACTGTGAGTTTAAAATCATCCTGGGCTACATAGTGAGTTCCAGGCAGTCTCAACCACATAATGAGATCCTGTCTCAAAAAAAACCCCAAAAAGTAAAAAATAAATATTTATTGCTCAGGTTACTATAATTTTATTATGTGCCAGGCAGTGTTTCCTAAGAGCCAGAGGCTGTCCAATGTAAATCTAAAACATATTTGAAATCTCATGTAAGCTTACAAAAGTCATTCACTTTTTCCATTTACCCTCTAGTGTGTTGTGATTTAGTGTAACAGTGTGTTTTCTGCTCACCTTGGAGCCCCCATAGAATGATGCAGATCATGCCGGGTGTCATGACAGCTGCCGTGGGGGTCATAGCTCCCTGGGGCTGGCCTGGACTGCCCAGCCACTGAGTTTCGCAAAGCATATTGATGCTTGTAGAGGTGGGATGTAACCAAAAATGTTGTAGGGCTTGGGGCTATAGGTCAGCAGTGAAATTTAACCTGGAGGAAACTCTAGGATCAATTTCTAGCACCCCCCCACCCCAAAAGCTATCTTTCAGCATCAGAAACTGAGAATAAGAGTTCCATCTTTTTTGTTTGTTTGTTTGTTTGTTTTTTGAGACAGGGTCTCACTATGTAGTTGAGACTGACCTGGAACTCACTATGTAGCCCAGGCTGTTCTCGAAATCACAGCGATCCTCCTGCCTCAGCCTCCCGAGTGCTGGGATTACAGGCGTGGGCCACCACGCCTGGCAGAGTCCCATCATTTTGGACAGATTGCTTTATAAAGTGTTCTGTGGTTTTAAAAAAGATAACTGGCGGGCCAGGGAGTTAGCTCAGCGGTTCGGTGGCCTGCCTTGCAAGTACAAGGACCTGAGTTTAATCCCCAGTACCAAAAAAAAAAAAAAAAAAAAAAAAAAAAAACAAAACATAACTGGCAAGGATATTTATTCTTCAGAGTCCTGATTGCTTAGTCATTACTGGTTTTAGAAACACAACACATGCACACACACAAAAGGGGGAATTCTAGTAGATTGTTAGTGGACTATCACAGTGCCCTCTGAAGGTGATCTAGGTATTGCTCTGCCATCACCTCGGACCCATGGATTCATTTTTTTTTTTTTTTTTTTTTTTTTGCAGTGTTAAGGAGACTGAACCCAGGGCTGGGCTCAAACATGCACCATACTGGGCTACCTCAAGGCTCTTGAATGTCTCACCTCATTGTGTCGTTCAGTCCCTTCTGCACAGAGAAAACCTGCTGCTTACTGACAGCTTGGGATGCCTGGAACAACTGGCAGACTACCTCACTGCAGGCTTTTGCTTCTAGTCCAAGCTGGTTTCCATTTGCGCAGGCTTTGGCTAAAGCCAGCTGAGGACAGAAAGACAAGAGAAACATGAGCATCAGATTGCCTACTTCTGAAGGGAAGGGCTCTTCAGGTAGAAAACACAGGTATACACACTTGCCTACTGAAGCCTTCTCAATCTTCTGGAATTGTATGGCTAAGATCTTTAGTATTATTCTCTTTGGAATAAGTAGTATACCACAAAAAAATTTTTGAACAGAACGAAAGGTAGATGAGTTGCCTTCCCAAAGTGAAGGTTCTCAAGGAATTTAGGTGTCCTGCTCACATTGTGAAAAACTTCATTTCTGGGGCCAGGGATTTAGCTCAGTGGTGCCATGCCTGCCTCGCAAGTGCAAGGTGCTGAGTTCAATCCCCAGTATTAAAAAAAAAAAAAAAAAAAAAAGAACATAAAACTGCCTAAAACCCAAAAAACTTGTTTCTGTTCAACCTTAGTGTAAAAGTAAGTCATTCTATGGGAGGCTGTACCACAAAGTAATAAGAGCTGGCTGAAAGCCAGGTATAGCGACATATGCTTGTAATTTTAGCCACTGGGAAGGCTAAGGCAGGAAGATCTCACAAGATGTCATGTTTCAAACCAGCCTGGGGAACTACTTGAACCTGTCTCAAAATAAGGGTGGGGATGTAGCTTAGTGGGAGAGCTCTTGCCTAGCACGTGTTATGCACTGGACTTGATAGCTAGCATCATAAAAACAAACACAACCAAGAACTACAACAAAAAATAAAGGCTGGCAGGAGCAAAGATGCTTTGTCTTTTAAAATCTGGACTCAAGCCAGACATGGTGGTACATGCCTATAATCACAGCACTTCGGAGGTTGAGATAGGAGGATCGCCACAAGTTCAAGGCCAGCCTGAATTACATAGTGAGACCTTGTCTCAAAAAACCAGCTCCTCCTAAAAAAACCCAACCCCCCCCCAAAAAAAAAATCTGGACTTGTGACCACAGACAAAACTAGAAACCTCTCTGCACCTCAGTTTCCTTTTTCATGATACATGATCAGCCTTTGAGTCAGCACTTGGCACTTACCTGCCAAGCACCCATTAAGACAGCTGGTCACTGTCAACCATGTTTATACATTTCCTTCTGGATTTTACTAGGGATTTGTGTATATGCTATATGTATATATGTATAAGGGCGTGCATCTGGGACCATTAATATACATACATCCTATCTTTTCTTTGCCTTCCTAACAATACCAAATTATTAGATATAACTAGAGATTATTAAACATCTACAGGCACATTCCACCTATATTTAGTTCCTTACCCAGTGAGTCCACAGGAGTACCCATACTTTGCAACATCCAACCCAAGTGCTTTCTGAAAGCTTTGTGCTGGTTTTCGTACCACTCATAGGAACACTTTGTTCAACTCACCTTCACCAACAAAACTATCACCACTGAAAAGACCTATTGGCAAGAATTATTAGCTACCTACTCAGAAACATAAATTTGCTAATCCAATCAGCTCAAAGTATCTCATTTAAAGCCCCCCCCCACCCCCAGACAGGGTCTTGCTATGTTCTTCAGCCTGGCTTTGAACTCACAATATAGCCCAGGCTGGCCTCAAACTTGTAGTGATCCTCCTGCCTCACCTCCTGAGTGCTAGGATTTCAGAAGTGTACCACCACCCCTGGCTTTGTTGTTCTGCTTTATAACTAGTTGTATTTATTTACGGATGACTTTGAGCTTCATGTAGAAGTAAACTTCTTGTAAATGTAATATCGCTTATAAATCTTTTGGACAAGAACACAACATTCTGTGACACATCAGACTAAAGCCATTTATGTTTTTTCCCTAGTATGTCAATGTAGATGACTTTCTATTCCACTTGTAGTTGCTTTGCAAGGGGGAGGGGCTTACATACTTGTCCTGAAACTTCTTTATCGATGTAAGGAGAGATGGTCTGGTAAAACACAACTACAGATCCTTGATATCCTGGCTAGATGGCTCGAGCAGGGCTTGCTACTCACAAGAACAGGAAAGCAATTCATGTGCTCCTCTGCTCTCTGGTAGCTTCAACTTTCACCGTCAAGACAAGCATTACATACAGGACAACTTTTGAGAATTAAATAAATTCTGACAGCAGGTATACCCCACGAGCACTTAGAATTCAGAGGCTGGTGGCTAAGAGGCAAGAGCGGACATGAATAGAAATGTATGAGGCACTTATGGGCTCTTCTCCCCGCAAAACAATAAGCTAAACTCCTTTCAGATTTAGCTGTAGCCAAACACATGCCTATAATCCTAGCACTTGGGAGGATGAGGCAGGAGGATACCTGAAAGTTTAAGGCCAGCTTGTGCCACATAGTGATTTCAAGGCCAGCATGAATTATATAGCAAGCTCCTGTCTCCAAAAAAAACATTCAGCTCTAGCCCTGGACCAATCTTACTGCATCCTTCAGTCTCCTTTTTTGAGGCCAGATATTCTTGCCCCTAGGCTGTAAGGCCAGTTTCTTTTGTCACCTGTGCTTCCCAGCAGCCTTTGGCAGCGTAGTCCCTGAGTTTCCGGAAGCTATGGAGGCATCGTCCGGGGTCTGACATCTGTCAACAGGAAAAAAGTTGCCTTTATATTCTTGTGTCTTCAGAGGAATTTGGAACCGACCCATGGGGTTCTTAAATGTCTCCTCTCCCACCCCCCATAAGATTCCCTGACTGCTGGCTCCTCAGCCTTTATCTTCAAACAATGGTGGATGTTGAGGGTATTGAAAGCAGCCTGCTCCCACAAACTGTGAAAAGGTCCTTCCTTTTGCCAACAGTCTGATGCAAGGGCTGGCTAGTTTTAGAAATTGGGCCTTTGGTCAACATTCCTCCTTCCCCCAAACCTTGGTCCACTCACATCTGTCTTCCTGTCACTTTCCCACAGGAGGTATGAGCTGGCCAAGCATCCCTGATGAGCAGACTCTTCAAACAGGTCACGGGCCTGCTTCCTCTTCTCTTCATCCTACAGCGAGGCCAAACGCAGCTGGTTCTTTTCTTATCTTCTATTCAATGTTCATTCATTCTACCAACCTCCCTCCTCAACCTCCACATTCCTAAGCAGTCAAACTCCCTGTGATAACTGACATGTTAACTAAATCAGAGTAGAAATGACTTCTGTAAAGATACACCACTTGACAGCCAACGAAGGGTGCAGACTTGGACCTGTGGCCTCAGGGGCTCTGCTTTTGCTGGAGATTGATGCACGGGCTTGGCTTGTAGATTCCCTAGCTCACCTCTGGGCCACCCAAGGCCTGCCTTTCAGTCTTGCTGCCAAAGGAAATGCCCTGAATCTAGATAGTGGTGCTGATGGCTCTCTGGATCCTCTACCTCCTCACTCTCCCTCAACATCCCTCCCTAATGCTTTCTCTACAAGTTATGATCTTCCCCAAATCTAATGCAAAGGGGGTTCACTGTGATCACAAAGCTTATTAAAACCTCAAGAGCAGGGCTGAGGATTTAGCTCAGTGGTTCTGGTGCCTGCCTTGCAAGCACAAGGACCTGAGTTCGATCCCCGGTATCAAAAAAAAAACCTCAAGAGCAGATAATCCAACTACCCATCATACAAACGTGTCAGCACCACCTGCTCAGTTCCTGATAGATTTGCTCTGCTATGTCTCTTGCACACAGTGCCCCATTTAATTCTCACAGCTATCCCAAGAGTAAGGCACATAATCCACCAATAACCTCTTTTCTCTTCCCAAAGAGCCAGTCCCGTAGAGCCCAGCCCTGTGGCCTCTCTGGGCAGGGCTTGGCTTTTGCATTGACCTTTGATGCCTTCCACTGCTTTTCACAGACTTCCTAGATTCCAGCCAGTGTCAAACCAGACAGAAATTCCAAGTGCAGGGAACAAGTTGACTAACCTCGAAAAGATTCAGTACTCTTCCTAAGCAGTGCAATATGGATGCTTTATGAGTCTTAAAAAAAAAAAAAAGGAAAAAGAAGTGTGAGTCCCAGCAGAGAACTGTTAGGGGGCAACTTCCCCACCCTGGCCAGCCCATCTCATGAACAGGACCACTTCCCAGTATCAGACTTTAGCTCTGGTGCTTTACATAGCCTCAGCCCCATGTTTCCAGCTACCAACACATTCGCCTAATGTTCTGCCAACTACTCCAGGCCCCAATCCCTCCATTACATTTATACTTGATGTTCTGCACCTCTGTTTCCTCTGGGTTTCCAATTTTACATATCAAAAGGTTCTGCCCAAGGGTTCTCCGATGTCCCAGACCCTGTGGGTGGACCTGTGGGTGCTGCTCCCCACCAGGACTTACTCTCCGTAGCTGACACTCTGCCCTGAGACTCTCATGGACCACAGCCTTGCAACAGCTTCCAGACACAGACCAAGGTGGGCGGATGAAAAGCCAGATAAAAGGTGAGGCACTCACATTCAGTCGCTCGGCCAGACTGAAGAAGTGAGAGGCTTTCAGGCCATTCACTTCTGCTCGGGCCTCATCAGACACAGACACTGCGGGACAGACAGGAGAGAAACCAGGGATGTCTCTGGGGGATGGGATAAAGAAAGTTCCCCAGTGTTTCTGGGAAGTCTAAAAGAGCAAGCCCACTGTAGTAAAGTTTCTGATGTTTTACGAAAGAAAAGCCCTCTAGGGTGGAGGTGCCTTCCCTTTCTTCCCCTGTTTAAGTCTAGAAGGGGCTGGGTTGTCTTTGTGACCATAGGCTCTGCTGGAGTCCTTCTGGAAGCATGGATTTTAACATCAAGGGACAGTACTCCCCATAGAGCCAGTCCTGTATTTCCCTCCTGCAGGAAACTACTGCCTGACCCCCTGCTAATGGGTTAATGAGGGAGAGGTTCTTTTAGGGATCAGAATATTCTAAAATTAGGCAGTGATAATGGATGCATAACTCTGTAAATATATTAAAAACCACTGGAAAAGCCAGATGTGGTGGCACGTGCTGGTAACCTCAGCTCCTTAGGAGGCTGAAGCAGGAGGTTCAGAAGTTCAAGACCATGCTTGGCAACCTAGTGAGACCCCCATCTCAAAAAAAAAAGACAGCAACAGCGCTGGGGACTTGGCTCAGTGGTGCCACACCTACCTTGCAAGCACAAGATCCTAAGTTTGATCCCCGATACTAAGAAAAAAAGAACAACAAAAAAACCCAACACCCGCAAAAGCCCACTAAATTGTACACTGTAGCAACACAAATTAAGTTCTCATCAGATAAGAACTGCCATCTGATGAAAGCCTGGATGCAGAATCTCAGCTCTCCTGGGCCTGGAGGAGAGATCTGCTCAAGGGCTCCATGAGTTGCAATATTCTTGTCAGCTGGTCAAGGGCAGTGACTATCTCTCTCTAGGCAAGAACCAGAGTTTTAGACTTTTTAGGACAGTACTGAGGACAGAACCCAAGATACTCTATCATTGAGCAATATCCTGAGTCCCTTTCACTTTTTGAGACAAAGTCTCACTAAATTGCCTGGGCTGGCCTTGAACTTTCAATCCTCCTGCCTTAGCCTCCCAAGTAACTGGGAATATAACACCAAGCTAAAACATCAGACTTTTTCCCTGTGTTGCACTAGGTATTGAAACCCAGGTCTCCATGCATGCTAAGCAAGTACCCTTTGCACTAAGCTACATTCCCTAGAACAAGATATCAGATCTTTCAAAAGCAAGAAAATGGCAGGGCAGGCTATAACCCAATCATTATATGTGTTGGGAGCTGAGATAACATAGACTTGTGAGCTCATTCTTTGGAGTGCTGAACAGATAAGCAGAAGTAAAGCCTATACAAGGATCTTTCAAGAAGCAAGTGGAAGCCAGGCATGGTGGCACAGGCCTGTAATCCCAGCAGTCCGGAGGATGAGGCAGGAGGATCGCTGTGAGTTTGAGACCAGCCTGGACTACATAGTGAGTTCCAAGTCAAGCTCAACTACATAGTGAGACCCTGTCTCAAAAAAATAAAATAAAAAGCAAGTGGAGCCTACACAAGGATCTTTCAAGGAGCACCTGGCCTTGAGGGGCAGAGGAACCCAAGCATGAGGCTGGCTCTGACCTCTTCCTGCATGGAACCATGGCTGCCTACATGATTGCCACCTTGTGGAATCAGGCATGCACTTCTGTCCCTAAGTTCCACAGACAATGGCTGAGGAAAAACCATGTCTACACGTGGGCCTCAGTGTTAATCAGACTGAAGGTGGGAGCCTGGTTTGTCCAAGCAGCTCCCATTCTGAGGAGGCTCTGTTCAGCATTAGGATTTGCTAAAACAAGAGGTGACACTCTTGGAACCTAAGTCAAAATACTGATGGGTCTCTGCTCATAAGGCATCTCCTGGCATAAGCTATCATGAAGAGACAGTAAAGCAGACCATCAGATATAGCAAGAGTACCTAAACTGCTCAGAAAGTTGGCTATGGCAGCACATGTCTATAATCCCAGCAGCTGGGAGGCTAAAGAAGGAAGATTAGTACAACTGTGAGGCCAGCCTGGGCTACATAGAAAATTAAAGGCCACCCTGAACTACATAGTGAGGCACTGTCTCAAAAACCCAAATTGCTCATGCTGGATGCATTATCTCAAAAAGGTCAAAGGTGGGTTCTTGTGTAAAGTATCAACAGTAAGGGCACTGTTACTTACGGCCTTCATTGTAGAGGTAGGCTATGCCTAGCTTCACAGCAGCTTCAAAATTTCCCTTTTCAGCAGCCCTAAACATTAAGAACACAAACATCACAGGATTTTATGCCACAGAGGTTATATACTACCACAGCACTGGAAGCTGGGATATTTTTAATTGAAAATTTTTTTATGCAACATATCAGTTATTCATTATATGCTATGACATGGATAAACCTTGAAAATATGCTCGTGAAAGAAGCCAGTCTCAGAACACCATGTATTATTACTTATTTACATGAAATGTCTCGAATAGGCAAATCCAAAGACAGAAAATAAAGTAAAGGTTGCCTAAGGTTTAGAGGATTATGTGGAAAAGGTCTGTGCAGGGGGCAGGTGGTGACAGCCAGCAAGTTCAAGATTTCTTTTTACAATGATAAGGATGTTCCAAAATTAGTGGTGATATTTGCATAATTTGAATATACTGGAAAATCACTGAGTTAAGACATTTCAAATGAGGGACCTGCTCGATGCATAGATTATGTCTCTAAGAAATATACATATTTTATCCAGAAGCAGCTCAAGCACAGCCACAGCAAAATGGTCACAGTATACTTGTTGGATAGCTACTTGGATCTATGGCAATTCAAGCAGATGAGGCTACATTATTGCATAATTGGGAAGATTCCCTCTTGAATCAAGGTTTCTCAACTTGGTTAAACAAGAAGGCTCCAACTGAGCCCCCTAGTTCTAAGAGCAGGCTCCAGAACCAGTAGCACTCTTGGTTAGTGGGCCTGGTTGCTAGCTCTTGGGCTCATAAATTGCAGGTTCGTGTCCCCTTCAGCCTTCCCTTGGGTCATAACTCCAGGTGAGTGGGCCCACCCAGTGAGTAGAGTGCAGAAAGACTGCAATCACATGGTTATGAACAATGGGAGAGAAAGCTGAATAAATCTTTCACAGGCTAGCGACACACATCTCAGTCACATGAGAATAGGCCACAGCCCAAGGGAGACCTTCTGGAAGCACCACAGGCAAGGGGAAAGGGTGATGACATGGGCTGCTGAATGTGGTATAATTCGGTGGGTCAGTTCTACATCCTTGGTGAGATGAGCCAATATCCTGAGAAACAGCACCAGTAAAACAGTTTCTGAATCAGGCATTGGGGCATAAGCTTGCATAGGAGAGGCTCAAAGACAGGAAGAAATCAAGCCATCTGTTTCTCAGGGTGCAGAGATACCTTTCAAAGAGCTTCAGGTTCTTTGGAGAAGGCCATAGCTCCTGGAAGCTGGCACATGCCCACACACTGGAATGGTTATCCACCAGGTACTTCAGGTGGGAGTGCACCTGCAGAGCAATGGAAACCAAGGGGGGATTACTGAAGGACTGTCCCCAAAGCCCTGTTCCTAGAGGCTCTTGAAGACAGGACATCACAGATACGGAGCATCCTGTCTCCTGCCCAATCCCAAGCAGTGAAAGACTCAGTCTCAATGTATCAAAGACAGACATACATGGCACAGACAAGAGTCCAGAGATGAGTTTCTCTGAGGTTCTAAGAGGAGAAGAGCAATGGTCTCAGAAAAAAAGAATAAGCATCTAGGTTAAGAAAGAGTGAATGGCATCTCTGCAGAAGTATACACCTGGAAGAACTGGGGAAACCAACTCTAAATGGAAGCAGGCACGAGTGAGAGCTGTCTTGTTTCTCTCTACCAAGGGCCTTGCTAGTGGAAACACTGCCTGGAGCTTGGAGGTCACGAACACAAGGAAAAAAACTGACATCCGTGGTGGCAAGCTCAGGTTGGACCAGCAGCCTCTGGGCAGGAAATGCCCCAAACCAGGACCCTCAGCAGAGGTGAACACTTTAAATGCTAAAGTTTTCACTGCTTTGGGAATCTACAACCCTATGAGTTCCACGGGTATATTATGAATATAATGGAGGTGGTTTTGGGTGCCAGGAAATAGGTTCTAGCTGGAGATTTCCTACCAATTTGCTGTATATCCTAGGATAAATCGCCAAAGTGGTTCCAAAATGATCCCTTCAGTTCACTGCATGTTACATAGGATTTGTCCTTAAGAATTCTTTGTAATACTTTTTTTTTCTTCTTTGAGACAGGGTCTCACTATGTAGTTCAAGCTGGCCTTGAACTCATGATGTAGCTAGGCTGGCCCCAAACTTGAAATTCTCCTGACTCAGCCTCCTAAGCGTTGGGACTATAGGTATGCACCACCATGCTCAGACTATTTTATATCTTAAGGGACACACACTTCACTGCCATAGGATACTTTCTCTGTGGAAATAAACATTATAATGAATGAAATTGAACTTTAGCACCCAGTTCTCTAATCTGAACATGTTCAATTACCTATTAACAATATCACCCTTGTTTCCTTTGCCCTCCTTGTAGCCAAAGTTTTGTTCCAACATATAAGAATCTGAGGCCTTGCTGGGATAATCAACAATGCCAGGACTGGTATTGCTTTCATCTGGTGACTTACAGCTCGTACAGCAAGGATGTCTCCAACAGAAAGCCACTTTAGGATGTGAAAGAGCACATCTTCTGGTAGACTCAAGATTGATAGGTTTCGGGGTCTCCTCCTTATTCTTCGCTTGGTAGGGTAACAGAAACACTTGGCACACCTACAGTGGATCACTTAAGAAAAAAAGAAAGAAAAACTCAGAAATCTTGATGAGATGAAAACCTGTATTTGAAATTGATTTCACAGTTACTACCCCTGCAGCACAAAAGAAGAAATTGACTTGTTTCAAAGATTAAGTAAAGGAGTAGCAAATGGATTATGGAAGACATCGTCATTTGTTCAATATCTTTTTTGTTTGTTTTGTTTTTGATACCGGGGATCGAACTCTGGTCCTTGCGATTGAGAGGCAGGTGGCAGCACCACTGAGCTAAATCTCCAGCCCTATTTGTTCAATATCTAACAAATATTCACGGTGAACAGCAGTTATCAATATTGGCTATTGGTAACTTTCTGATCCAGCAAAGGACCTGGAGGTTCAATTCAGCAGATGTCAGAGCAGCCCAGCCCCTGAGTTTCAGCGTCCTCCACTGTAAAATAAGGACTCAGTAGCTACTCGGCAAGGTGGTCCAAATCCCAACACAAGACTTAGACGCACAGAGATGAAAACATCAAAGTTCAGGCCCTCTGCCCTCAGCAAGGTGGTTCTAACTCCTCTAGTAACTCCTTCCTCATTCTAAGCAGATAGCATTACCTCTTATTTCATAGGAAAATGGAAGTCCTGCTTCCCCATCTACAAATTTATGTCTTTTAGCTCATCCTTACTGCCCTGAGGAAAGTGGCTGCTTTTCTGACTATGTATCCCTTCCCTGGGCTTCTCCAGGGGGCCTCCCCACCCCCCCAGGTCTTCCTGCCAGCAACTAAACGTACTTCAGAGACAAATAAATACTCAAGGCGAAACATTCGCAAAGATTACATGGATGTTACCATAAAAGTTTCCTCTATCCCTCGCTCTAGAACAGATACTTGGAGATATTTAATCCCCACTATAATAAGTGGGAATTGTGTGTCTTGTCGACCTGTCCCTCCCGCGCGACAGACCCCGCGATGTGTTAGCTGGCGTGGGCTCCAGGTGAGCGGGTGCAGGTGTGCACTGACGGGCGCCAGGCGGGTCCTGGCTACCCGCGACGCCTAGTCCTGCCACTCGCCCCGCAGACACTTGACTCCACGAAGAAGCCGCCGTAGTTTGCTCCGCAGAAAACCCGGCAAGGAGACGCTGCGGGTATTTAAACCACCCAGGGGCCCCCGCGCGGTCGTGCGCTGCAGTGGGGG